TGCCCACTCCATGCCAGTAATAAGGTCTGTGCCTGTTGCTTTTCAAGGACTTTACTTTTCAAGAATTCTGACTGCTTTAATCATACTAGTTATTCTGCCTGCTGTTTGTAAGCAATTAGCAGATCACCAGTAGCTAAAAAAACTTGCTTATATAAGTCTGAGGATCTAGTGCAAAGCCAGATTTCACTTCCTAAAATGTTTGCCAGAGCTTTCTTCAGGCCATCATCCAAGCAGTGGCAAATGTATTTATTTATGGCTGGCTGGAGTTTCCCAGCAGATGGGGCTCTTGCCTGCAGTGTGGCCAGGCAAGCACCTGGCTGCGCAACTGCTGCGTATCATCTTCTGTATGAAGTTTTTGTGCTTCAGATCCTTTCAGCAGGCAGAGCAGCCTTAACTTGCCTGCACGTGTGACTTGTCCAGGAGCCAAAGCTAGGCTGAACATTGGAGTGTTTCGAGAAATCTCCTCTCCAACTTTCCGTGCAGTGCCGGAATTCCTCCTTATAGGGAAGTATGGCTCTTCAGTTTGTTTTTCCTTGGTGGTGTTTCCTGAAATGTGATTGTCACTGGAATCCTGTAGATATCCTGGCATTTGGGTCACTCCCTTTCCCACTGACTAGGAAGGATTATTTTCTCATCACATAGGGCAGCTTGCATGTTTCTGATGTGTATCCTTGCTTTCCTTAATTTTCAGCTCTCTCTCTTCCTGAATTTTCTATGGCCTCACTCATAATGTGATTCAGAGCTATTTGCTCTGTGCATGTTTCTGTAAATCACCTTTGTCTAGATGGTAGTTTGTACTCATGTAAGAAAAGGGTTAAAACTGGCTGTAGTAGGGCTAAACTTAGATGTGCAAGTCTAATTTGATGCCATAGATTCCAACCATGTCCTGCGTAACAGAGTTGGTTCAGGTAGGGCATGAAGATTAATTTCAGTCCGGATGGCCTGGTAGAGACATTTTAACATCAAAACCTGGTGGTTTGCTGGATCTTTCAATTCCCTGCCTGTGTACTGTGGCTCTTGTCTAGGGAAGAATGCTGTCAGCAGCTAAGAAACATGCCTGAAGCTGGACCTCTGCTCTCATCTCCACCCAAATTTCATGTGACTAGTTTGCAAAGCAGTAGCCTGCCCTGCGTTAGACTGAGGTGTGGCTAACCCACAGCCCAGCCCTGGGACTCCCTGCAGCCCCCACCGCTTTCATGCTGGTGCGAGGAGGGATGAATAGTTGGCGCCTGGCCCAGTTGTATTTGGAGCAGTTGCTGGCAGGTTTCTGAAAGCAGAGAGTTCCCCTGTGAGTAGAAAATTCCTTTTCAAAATCTTCAGCCTGTTTTATCTTCTTTGTTATGACATTGCTTACAGACATTAATCTGGCCCTGCATAGTCAGCTTTACAGGTTAGACATATATAATTCCTGCATGTCTTGTGTACATGAAGTTATATGTAAATCAAAGGCTCCCTTTTATGTGCACTTAATTTTCTCTGTATGTCAGTGTGGAGATTCTCCAACCTTTGTTCATTCTTTCCCTCTTTTAATACAGTCTGTAAATTGTGGTGTAAGTTCAAAGCTAAGCTTTAAACTATGACCTCCAGTGTCATCTTGAGATGTTTTTAGAGAAGGGCTGCACGTTCCCCACTCAGCCAGGAGAGTGAGGCCCTGTGGACTGGCTTCCAGTACTGGGCATGGGGCACCACCAGCCACCATCTAACATTCTGATTCTCTTTCAGTCTTTTGACTGCTTCTGGTGAAAATACTTAATTTGTTAAACAAACTGTCACTACACTGGAATTAGAGAGTGATGGTGTAAGGGTCAGTTCCTGGGCTGTTCCCTTTCTAAAGAGGGGTTGTGCTTCATTAGCTGTGAATTCTCCTGCTAAAAGCCAGTGTTTTTTCTGCATGTCCTATGTCAGATAAGAACAAAGCGGTAAGTGTTTCCTTTGGGTTGGTCACTGTTTTATTGGAAAAGTAGTTCTGTAAGTGAGGGAAGGCTTGGGTGTTAAGCCCAAAATGCTCAAACTGTGTACCTGTAGCCCTGCTGTTTTATTGGAATACCTGCAAGGCATAGTACCTCTTCATTTTAAAACTGAACTCACCCTGGAGAGACATTTCTTGCATTAAGAAATGAAGGAGAATATCAATGCACCTGAAGTTGCTTACACATTTTTTTGGCTTATCTAATAATATGTTCCTATTTCTTTGCTGTAGATTGCTTGCACAACTCTGGATGTGGATCTGGTGTGCATAAATGTGACAGAAAAGCTGCCATTCTACTTCCGAAGGCCCCCTGTGAATATGGTAAATTTACATCTAAATTGTTTTCTTGCTGTTAAATGCTGTATTTAATGTCAGTCTGAGTTGAACTCCCTACCATTTCCTTCTCACCATTCCCATCCAAGTGATTCTTTTATTTTCTTCCATGATGTATGTTCTTTTCTTTCTCCTTCCTCTCGCCACTTAAGAAGGCAGAAGTGGTGTTCCCAAGGAATGGAAACAGAGCCTTAAGGCCCCGCTGTGCGAAGCAGTGAGATGTGGTGTGATTGCTGACTAAGCTGCCTCCCAAACCAGAAGTAGTACAGCTGTGTCAGAATAGATAAACAGCCCTGTGATTAAAAGACAAGAGAATGTGAATGACACTGTTAATTTGGAAGAATGTCGTGCCGGTTATTTGGAGAGCAACTGTATTGAATCCATACTTAGACAAAGGAATGTCTTGACAAATGAACCAAATGTAAAATTGCTAAATATCTGCTGTGGGACACAAAATGGCTATCAGCATGGATCAAGTATTTTGTTAATACAATTCTGCCTACTGTTGGTTTGCCAGAAGCTTAATCTAAACATGCTCTTAGGTGAACTAGCTTTTTCCTCTGAGTATATGTCAACATTCATTCCACGTGGGCATTCTTGGCTGATGTAGTCCTTAATGCTTAAAAAATTAAATTTGGAATTGGCTAGAAATCCTACTTCCTGTTCTACAGAAAGTTTGACCTAGAAAAAAATCTAAAATTAACTAGAATTAATCCTGAAACAGAACAAAAGTAATACTTTGGAATTTACAACAGACTGGCAATTTCAACATTCCATTTGGAATAACAATTTTGTATGAAATGTTGTTTGAAAGCTGCCTAAAACTCCAGCAGCTGACCCAAGTGAGAAGCTGGGTGGCTCTTGGAGCACTGTGTTTGGGGACATTTTCCTTACAAGCTGCTTCTCAGCTTCCACACTTCCAGCTTCAAGGCAGTCTGTCTGTCAGACTGGTTTTGTGCATTGTCGGGCCGTCAGTTTTGGTTGTGATGCCAGACAGACAGATTGGCAGACAGCTGACGTGGTGGGGATGAAGTTAAAAATCTGCTTGGGTATTGCCATCACCTGCTTTGGTTTTGATAAATTCTGGCTTCTCTTCTTGTTTGCGGATGTCGGACCAGCCCTGTGTGAAACGTTTGATGTGTACGTAGCTTCTGTTATGCTTGCGTTCAGAGGTCACGCATGCATGGAAGCTGGATTAATTCCATCTGTATTCAGTTACTGGGCTTTCTTACACTATTAATATTTAACCTTTTTTAATAATATGAGTATAAAGCATAAATTCACATTTCAGGCAAATGTAGTCTAGACCAGGGAACAAGGAAGTCCTAGCTTTGAGTTATATCTTTATCACTTACTCACTGTGTCCTAGAGCAAGTTGCTTAACCTTTCTCTGTGTGTTTGCAAAAACAAGAATGCTAGGCTTTTGGTAAGGTACTTTGACAGACAGCAAGGGATTTTAAAGCACCTGAAAATATACTGAGTATTACTACTTGGAACCTCTCCTGTGACTCGCTGTTACTTAACATTGTCACAAATACCAGAGTAAGCTGTGAGACAGGAGAGAAGGGTCCTCATTGCTGCTTTTATGCAAGGACAAATTCCTCATCTGCAAGATGTGGGTACTATAGGAAGCAGTGGTCACCTGCCTCCTCATCTCTGTGGAAATCCAGTCACAACTAATAAGTGGCTAGTATTTCTTTGCATGTTAAACCTTGTTTATCTGTCATCCCAAGATTCAAGTACACGTATCTGGTGTACAGTGAAACTTTTCCCTCGCCCACCCCCATGCTATGCTGTGTTCTTGCTGGAACAATTCTGCCTAAATTTTTTCATCTGTAACACAGTTAAACTGAGAGTAAGCTGCATCAATAATAGACAGCAGTTGTTAGATTGTTATGCTTCTCTCCTTTTGATTTGTGATCACTCTTTTATGTGAAGGCAATAGATCGAGGCATTTACTTTGAACTTCTTTACACGCCTGCCATCAAAGACTCCACAATGAGAAGATACACAATTTCAAATGCGATCAGCCTGATGCAGATCTGCAAAGGAAAGGTAAGCTCTCAAAGTGAAAGCAAACTAATTAATTCAGTTCAAATTCTTCTGGAGCTGTACAGGCTGAGCCATTTTAAATGAGTTTGATGCTGGGGTTTCTGAAGCTGTGACTGAATCTTTGCCTACTAATACAAGGACACAATTACTGTAGCTCCAGATACTTCCAGCCATGTACCACTGCATGCTTTCTTCTTAAGTTATCAAACTGTTAGATGCTTTTTTCAGAACAACCTATCTGTTATTATTGTATGCAATACCTAAAACAAAAGGGGGAAAAAACCCTGTAAAATGATGGAGATCTAATGTTTGCGCTAAGAATGAAATCCATGCCGAAATCTCTTTAAAATCCCCCCATTTCATATTTCTGATTGACCAAAAGCTCTTTTTTGATAGTATACCTTGAATATTGGGGATAGAAAATAATAAAAAAGTAGAAATCTTGTTTTGTTAAATGGTTAATAAATTCCCAGTGTACAAAACAGACCCAACAGCTAGCTGGCTATCAGCCAGGGCTTTGCTGCAGTCAGATCAACTGCATTCTTCCCCGCTACTGAAACCCAAGGAAGAAGTAGCACTTGCCGTTGAGACGCCTGTAATCCATTGCTTTCATACCTTACCTCCTCCCAGGCTACCAGGCTAAGCTGCCTGTCATGCTGGGTCCTCTCAGGCCATGTTTTTTTTTAACAGGGAAACATATCAGAATACATACCCAAGTTAAAAGAGATTGTAGCTCCCACCGCCTTTATTGGAAATGGCCTTTGCCACACTGAGCTAGTCCAGAGAAGCCAAAATTGGCATTACGTTGCAGATCTAGTCTGAAGTGGGATATACAGTTTGGAAGGCCAATTAAAAGCAGATCCATTGTTACCTCAGTTCCCCTCAGGCAGGACAGCCTATTTTATAGAACAGCAGAGTGGGTCGAACAGAAGAAAATTAACTCTATCCTAGTGAAACCAGGACACTGCTACAGAAAGTGGTGAGTATTCGCACGGCTCTTCCGGAGAAGCCCAACTCTGGGAGTTAATCCCACAAAACACTGACTTGGAGATGTGATGCATGTACACAAAACTGCTTTCCTTTGGGATTCTTGTTTGCTAGCACTCCTTTTTCCTCTGTGCAGTTAAAGATGTACTTCTCCTGCGGTTGTTGATTTGAAGAGCACCAGTTGAGCTGGCATCACAAACGGAGCGAGACGTTTGGGTGCTCAGTGTGTGCACAGTGCCCTTTCTTTCTACATCTGTCAATGTAGTGCATCATCTGTGCCTGGAAGGGAAATCAGCTGGAGCTGGGCATGACAAGTTGTTGTTAGGCACTCAGAGAAGACTGCTAGCTTGTCTTTATTTTTTCCTCCAGGCTCAGTGCCTGGTGGTCCAGCAGAGATGGTTACTAGCCCTCACTGTCAGTTTGTCTCTGTCAGTTATGTAAAAGCCTTTTTTTTTTTTAACAAGACGTGGGGTGGCTGGTCTGTAGGCTGCTTGCATTGGCACCTGGCACACAGCTCTCACCTTCTATAACCTATAATTGCTGAACTTGTAGCAGCTTTTGGATTCTTTTATTCTTCCTCTGTTGTGGTAGGACAGAGAAACTTCCAGAAATTTACTGGTGTCCTCAGAGCTGGTGTTGAGCGGAGTCCTTTAAACAAGTTAAAATGGGTAGGGAATGAGAGAGGGACTCGCCTGCCTTGCCAGACAGAAGGTGTGCATACAGTCCCTCGCCTCCTGTGTTTTAGTATCTGAGTGTGGATACTGTGCCTGGAGCAGTGTACTGAACAGCTGCTGTCTCTTTACCTGAGGAGATAATGTTTTGCCGTTGAGTTCTTCCCTCCCCTTCCCTTCTTCCCTTGGATTTGCCTTTGCCTGCCTCTCCTTCACTCGCTAACTGTGCTTTTCTTGTCTGCTCTTGTCTACTCCCATCTTACCCATCCCCTAACTGGAATCCAGTTGCCTTTGAAGCAAGGGAAGTGCATCTCCAGTGCACAGCAGTGAACCATGATCCTACACTGGTTCAAGGTGGCTCACACAGCTGCTCTGGGAGCTTCTCCAAGCCTGGGAGACAGGCATTGGTTGTTACAGCTCAGAGCAAGACACTTGAATTTTCCCAGCAAACTCTTGCAGTCAGCACCACTGAAGCTCGAAAGCACCCTTGGGATTCACAGTGCAGTCATTTTAAAGGTGAACTGCACAGAAAAAAATGGCCTGGGCTCCATCATGATGTGTGCTGTTAAGTCACTTTGATGTATATATTGCTTCTGTTTCTGGCTTTCCTTATGCTAAGGCAGTTATTTGTGCCATCCATTCCTCAGCACAAGAGGAAACCTTAGGCACAGTATGAACATGCAGTCATTTCCATGCAAATGGCTTTTATGGGTTGAGTTCTAGCTGCACACATAGCATTTTCTTCCAGCATCTGCCCTGCTCTTTGTGCTGGGGAGGTGGCAGGATGAGCAAAGAAGTGCGGGGAAGGGATCAAAAGCCCCACCTCATAACCGGAGGTGGTGTGATGTGTTGGTGGCACTGACGTCGGAGAGGGAAGTCTTTTGCTGCCTCAGTACAATTCTCATTCTCACCCACTCAAACAGGAATTCCCAAAGCCTTTTATTCAGTATAATAAAAGGTGCAAGGATTTTTTTGCTGCTGCTGCAGTTTTTACCTGTGCAAAACAGTCTTCCCCTGGGTGAGCATTCTTGGAGGTTTAACATCAGAAGAGCGCTGGCAGCTGAGCTGTTGTGTCTGCCAGCCCCCAAGCAATCATGTACCTGTTCTGTAGAAACCCTCTGAGAGAGAAAGGAGGAGGGTGCCTCTCTGCCTGGTGATTTTCACGGGGGTGCCAGTGTTGAGGGAAGTGAGTGTATGGCATGCATTGGCAGGCACTGCCTGGCTGCAGACAGGCTTCCACAACCAGTGTGAGTTAATAATTAAGGCCAACATGAATGCTGGGATTAGGATTGAGTTGCACTGCAACACAGAGAGCAGGCTGAAAATTTGTGAGCACAACTGTCTGAAGGCAGTATCTGTAAGCTGCTTCTGGGGGTCCTAAGTCCATTTCCACTACAGCTCAGGCAGAGTTGTCATTTGTGTGGGACCTCTTTCAGCTAGTGTAAATAAAGGAGACACTTCATAACAGTGTTTGTAACTCTGCATTTCTTCTTTATGAAATCATAGAATCACAGAATGTCAGGGATTGGAAGTAGCCTCGAAAGATCATCTAGTCCAATCCCCCTGCCGGAGCAGGAACCTAAACAAAATTACACAGGAAGGCGTCCAGGCGGGTCTTGAATGTCTCCAGAGAAGGAGACTCCACAACCTCCCTGGGCAGCCTGTTCCAGTGCTCTGTCACCCTCACTGTAAAGTAGTTTTTTCTCAAGTTTAAGTGGAACCTCCTGTGTTCCAGCTTACACCCATTGCTCCTTGGAATGGTTTGGGTTGGAAGGGACCTTAAAGATCATCTAGTTCCAACCCCCCTGCCATCAGCAGGGACACCTTCCACTAGACCAGGTTGCTCAAAGCCTCATCCAGCCTGGCCTTAAACACTTCCAGGGAGGAGCAGCCACAGCTTCCTTGGGCAACCTGTTCCAGTATCTGACCACCCTCATAGTAAAGAATTTCTTCCTAATATCTGATCTAAACCTACCCTCTTCCAGTTTAAACCCATTTCCCCTTGTTCTGTCATTAACTGCCCTTATAAAGAGTCCCTCCCCAGCTTTCCTGGAGACCCCTTCAGGTACTGGAAGGCTGCTATAAGATTTACCCTTAAGGTTTCTTTAAAGTCCACTATGAGAGATACAGGCTGATAGGTGCTTGCTTAATGCCATCACTGCTCAGCCTATCCCTCTAAAGGTGTAGTGCTTATTCCACTCACATCTGTCTGTGAGAGATTTGTAACTGCTTCTCCCTCTGCCCCTCTCTCTGTGGGGGACAGGGAGATAACCTGTGTTTATTCATGTGCCCAGATGAAGATCCACACCCTGCTAGAGTTCACTTCATCTGAGGGCATCACATACTCTGATGGTTAATTTGGCTCTGAGCCTGAACTTGGCTAATGTTTGTGAAGTCTTTGCTGCTTGTTGATTTTTTTCATTTCTTGATGTTGTCTGACAGATGAACATTTGTTCTCTTTTGTTTTCCAGAACATTGTTATATCTAGTGCAGCTGAAAGGGTAAGTCCTAGATTTTTGTTGAAGTCAGAACAATTTGAGGATTTATCTGTGGCTGAAAATACAGCTTTAATTATATATTAAGAATATAAAAATTTTCATTTTAAATATGATTGCCATCTTGTGGATTTTTTAATCGATGTGTTTTACCAAAGAATTATATTGTGGGGTTTGGGGGTTTTTTTGCTGCTGTGGTATTTTCCATGACAGTTTGATTGCAAATGGGGACTTTGTTTTCCAAAATAATAGTATTTGCTTGATTTCCTAGTGCATCTTTAGCAGCTTGCTATTATGTAGCATTTAATCTTGCCTTCCTGATAGCACTGTCCTGCCTGCTCATGCTCTGTCAGCCTGCAAGAGAGTGCTTGCACATACCTAACCTCCTTTATTTTGTTTTAGCCTTTAGAACTACGGGGTCCTTACGACGTGGCTAATCTGTATCCTTTTTCTAAGTCAAAGACATCAGTTAATAGTAACATGTGAAACTTCAAAGTGGCTTTGAAATACTTCCATTCTTTACACTCCTTGAACTTTACACAGTGGTGCTTGTTGGTGATCAGTTCAATGAATCAGGGCTCTTGAGTGGGTGTGGAAGGAGGAACAGCTCTTGGTCATGGGGTGGCAGGAGCAGTCACTGTAAATAGTAATGTCTGTGTTCAGCTACAGGTATGTTTTGTTGTGATATGCATTGATACCTTAGAAATCTATGGACATTGTGAACCAAATCAGAAATTATTACTTATGATTTCCGAAGTGCCACATCTTTGCTAGAAAAAGCTATAAAATTATATTTATATTAAGAATGAAAATGTTCCTGAGTTACTTGTGTTCTGAATTTTCCAGTCCTTAGTTACATACATGCTGTTAAGTAAGTGGTTGTGTTCTAGAAACCAAGGAGAATGTCTTTTCTCCCTTTCTTTTAGGAATTCAGATGCATTTTTTTACTCCTCCCTCCCTGCTCCCAAACACGTATCTGAACTGTCCCTCAAAGGGAGGAGCATGCACTGAGTAATGAGAACTGTGTGGGAGGGTGTGTGGCCTGGAAGGATTTTATGTGCAACATTTCCTTCCCTTTTAAAAAGAGCAGTCAGGCTCAACCCAAATTAACATATCTAATCTCGTGTCATCCCTGCTCAAGGTGGCTGGGAACTTCTCAGCATAATGCTTTTGTATCAGACAGTGCCCTTTCCCCAAAACTGAAGTTTTCAGTGGGGTCATTTTTTTACTTGATTATGCATGTAAAAATGTTCCAGTGTTGACAGACTTTTATTTTCGAAAATACAGCTTCTTGTCTGGAAAAAGGCAACATTGCCAGGAGCTTTCCAGGAGGGCTGCTGGGGAACTGCAGTCAGGAGAATTGGGTGCCTCAGTTCCCTGCCTCTGGGTAACCTTATGCAAAATGTCACTTTAAGTTACAGCTCTGCTAATTCCCAGTTATTTGTAGAGTAAGCAAACCTATCATGCAGACAAACTTCCCTATTCTGTTTCTTCCTTTCTGTGCATTTTGATCCTGAGCAAAGGTGACAGAGGTTTGCTGTTTGGCCTATCGGAAAGTGAAGCCAAGGCAGCTGTGTCTACCAACTGCAGAGCTACCATGCTCCATGGAGGTAAGTGAGAAGCACGTGCAAGCTCATCTGAGTTACACTTGCATTTGTTAAACTAAGTTTGTGTTAGTGCCTGTTTTCAAAAGGTCTAAGACTTTAGAGAGCAAGTCAGCTTGGGGTTTTAGCTCCCTTGCTGAATGCATAAAGAGGAGCTTGTGCAGCAAGGGTGTTTTATTTTCTCTTGCTGCCATGTTAGCAAATCAGTGGTGGAATTGATGGTGCTGTCTGTACTGGAGTACTCGCTTAACCACATTAAAGAGTCATAAACTGTGTAGCCAAAACATGGATCTGCCTGTTGTGCTGCGTAGTGAAACTATTCCTTGTTTCAGAAAAGGTTGAATGCTGATCTCGGTGACACCAGCAGAAACTACATCATTGACTTCAAGAAAATCAGGATGCATGTGTTTTGCATTTACCCTCTTGCAGCATGAGTGCAGAAGCAACCTTTGCCATGTCCCTTTCTAATGCTTCATTATGTGGGCTATTTCTGACTCACTCTTCAGTGTGGACCATTTCAAACAAATCAAAATCAAATACTCTGAGTGCTTGCTGCTTAGAAAAAAATGTTTAATGTAATGTACAATGGCTTGAAATGTTTTGATGAAACAAAACCTGATTCCTTATGCTCTCAACAGAGAAAGCTTACAATAGTTCTCTTGTTTTCTAGTTCCTCTTTTTTAATATTAAGAAAGTGTGCATTTAGTTTGTGGCCCCCTGCACTGGAAATCAAAAGGTTTCTAGTTGTATTTTGTGTTCCAGATTCAGTGTACCAAAGAGGTGCCACAGTTTGTGTTCCGGCAATCAATTTAGACCCTTGCTTTCCACTGTAGCACTGGTTTCTCCATCTCTGTGCTCCTTTTCACATACTTATTTATTGGTTCTTAGTGTTTCTTGTTTATTCTGATGGCAGATTCTTAGTTTTTGTTGTTCATTCTGATGGCAGTTTAACTTTGGGACTGAGTAGCTGCATCTAGCTCTTAATTTCTGGCTCTGCCAAGGTTTGTTGTTTCAGTCACCTTTCCAACAACTCAAGTTGCTCTCAGTTTCAAACGCACAGTAAGATTTGTTTTGCATCTCTTGTTTCAGCAGAGATGGGACTTGAACCTGCTGTAATTCATGGCAGGTAGCTTTGATCTCTTGGAGGGGAGATTTCTGTGAATCGAGTCATCCTCTAGCCTGCTGCTTGTCAACATAGAGACAGCATGTTGTGAAGTTTATGTGGAATTTCTCAAGGCCATCTATCTTATCTGCGAAATTAAATAGCAGGTGTCATTTCCCTGTCCCCCAAAGAATGCTAGCCCAGAATAAGTTGATATATTTTTGGCAAGGTTCTTGCAGAGCCTCTTTGCTAACAGAGTATTTGTAGGGAATCTCTTCTACCTCAAGTTTTGCAGAGAAGCCTCCCACCAGTAGTTCTGAAATTGGAATGGGCTCTCTAGGTTGTTTGGCAAACATGTGAGGAGTTTGATAACATCACACAGTAGTATTTTATGGTAATACTGAGGCTTCTGTAAATAAAATATTATTGAATACTATAAAGCCACTTATTTGGTACGTACAGGGGAGCCTCTGCCAATATAGCCGTGCCAGCATATTCTGTTTAAGAATCCTGGGATATGTTAATGCATTTTTAATATTTTTCTTAAAAACAGTCTGTTTTGCTCAGAAACGCTTTTTGACAGTGCTTCGAGAATGTGCCCTTCTGTGACTATTGAACTGATTAAGCCTGGTTTCCTATGGTTTTGTGTGTCTGTAGCCCCTCAGCCCCTGCAGATCTCAGTTTTCTCTTATGTTCACTGTAATTCTACACCTGCCATCATATTTCCCCCTTTAGTTTCCCCACTCCGTAATGCAGGATATCCCCAGCTCCTGCCCATGCAGGTTGCTTACCTTCTGTGTGTGAGGACTGGCTGGCTGTTAAACATGTTGAACTGTGCTTTGGGGCATGGAGACCTGCCATGGGTATGCATTAAATGCATTAGTGTCATTTTATTTTAGGTACTACAGCTTCTGCTTGTATATTCCAGAAACTCGGAAGAGTGCCTGTGGGGTAGTGTACACAGTGAAGAAGCCTCGCAAGGTTGAGGAGGAAGAGACAACACTGCCAGCCTGCAAAAAAGCTAAAACTCAAGCTTGAGGACTGAACCAGTTGTCAACAGGAGCCTTCATCCCATCTTTACTCAGGGTTGAGTCTTCCCCACCCTCCAACCAGCCCAGTTCTTCTCTTACTACTTTATTTAGCCTGGAGAAGAATTACTCTTCTGGTGTTCAAGTGAGGAAAGCTGTGGGAATGAGACTGCTGAATCGTAGTTCACCACATCTGAAAGGTCATGCTGGGTTTCTGGCCGAGGTCAGAAGGCTGTCTGTCCACCCTGTCTTAGGTCTTCTGGAGTTAGTGCAAACTCAACACATTCTAACATATGGAAATTTTCAGTTGTACAAGAGCATTCCTTTTTTATTGAAAATGTTTGTAAGAATGCATGCCTGCAAAGTCTAGCTCTTACTGTTTCTCAAGTTTTAAACACATCTCTGTACTAAACCTTACAACCACAAGCCAGTAGATGAAGTTTATCTTCAGTGGCCTGTGAATAGTGCAGTAAAAAAAAAAAAAGTCAATCTGCTTCCTGTTCTGTTTTGTGATCATTGGCTATAAAGAAGATCCAAGCATCTGTCACTTTCTCAGAGGTGTCTTGGGTTTGTGTTATGGCAGAACTACCTGACCTGCCAGACACATATCCCAAAGGCCATCCCTGTCCTGCAGCTCTTAGAACCAGAGAGTAACATGAGGTGGTTACCACAGATGGGAAGGAAGAGCCCAAGGTTGCACTGAATGTGTGCTCAGTGTGGTATGTTGCAGTTGCAGCCTAACAGCTGTCTCACCTTGGCCTGAGCAAACTCCATGTCACATCATTTTTACTGCATCATTTCATTCTTTATGTCCTGGTCTGGCAGTGTTGCCTGTGAGAGTGTTCATTTTGCTGCCTCCTGCCTTTCCGTTTTCCTTCCTGTTTTTGCCTCAGTAAACCTAATCTGTCTGCCATAAAAGCAATCGTACCAGATTTACAATCAGCAGAGCATTTTCAGAGCTCTTCCAAATGTTGACTGAAGTTTTTCTTTTGATTAAACCAATATAAAAAAATTATGTAAGCTACTGTACTCAAGATACTCTTGAGCCAGCTTTACTGTGAATCTTCCAGTTCTCTAATTGTATCTGACAACAAGTTGAGAAGTGGAAGTTACAGCACATAAAATATTGCAGAAATCTTGCAGTGGGTCATCTCTGAGCTCTTAGACTGGACTGAGCAGAATGGATGAAGTTGTCAGTAGCCTAACAGTTCTATATAATGCTGGTCTAAGTCACAACAGCTTTTACTTTATTCAACCAATAATGAATTTTTTTTCTTTATGTTACTTTTTACTTGTTGACTTTCTGATTTGAATCTGTTTTTTTACAGATATTGGGATGTAATCTATAAATACACACACACACACACACACACACACACACTAGTTTATTATTTATGGATTTACCTCCAAAATTATGCTCTGACCAGAGAAGAGGCAGAAACGTGTTTTTCTGAATGACACATTATCTTGCTTTGGCCAGAGAATAACCTACCTTGAGCATTAGAGAAGTTGTTTGGTAACCAGCATATGAAAAGAGGCTTTTGAATGCTAGAGATCCTTCTTGCTACTTGTTTGACATGATTTAAAAAAATCTACAGTCTGCAGCTTTGCCCTTTAAGTAGATACAGTGCTTTAGGAACTGATTGAAAAGTTTCTTCTTCCCTAGTTTCCTGAAGTGCGTTGTTCTGGCCACTTTGGAGCCTGAGCAATTGAACTGCTTCTCCACTGGGATGATAAACAGAGTTAGCCAGCACTGGTGTCATTTCTATTTCCTGCAAGGCATGCTCCCAGTGTCCAGGTAATTGTGCAGAAACGAGCAGTTGAGGTAGTGGCTTGCAGGGAAGGGCAGCAAGCAGACGTGTGTCGTAATTTTTGTGGAAAAGAGTGTGTTCACAAAGAAAGCCTATGGCTGGCAAGGTGACACTCGTGAGTTATGGTGCTTGTGTGAGAAAAGTCTCATCTGCCTAAAGCTCTTGGCTTCAGATACCTCTCTGCAGACAGAATAGATGTTTCTTCTGCTTGCTTCTCTGGGGGGTTTCTGTAAATTCACTTAATCTCCAATAACAACTATTCATCGCTACCCACTCTTGACCCCACCTCATTGCACAGGACATTCTTTTGGCCAGACTGTAAAGCCTACTGACTTGAAGGCAGCTGGCACAGTTTGGTGAAGGTGTGTGAGAGTCTGTGGTGTGTTTTGCTGGGAAGTCATGCTGTGGGGCATGAGGATTTTAGCTGCATGCAGTGTGTAATGTCACAATGAAACTGGACATTGATGCCCCTGCTGGAGGTACGGGTAAGAATGTGATGCTTCTGCTAAAGTCAGGGGAGAGGTGCCTGCCTTTCCTAGCAGTACTCGGGGTCTTCCTTGGCTTGGACAACTGAATCTGTCTTATGTGCTCCACATAGTAAGTACTGGCTTGCTGAGAAACTGAGATTGTAAATCAAACTCAGTAATAAAACTGTAACTTTGTTTTACTAGCTACTCAAGTACTGTCTTTCTGCTTTTGTATATGTGTTTGCATTTAACAAAAGAAGTAAGAGATGGCATTTATCTGACAGTGGCAGGGAGGTAACTCAAGGGCTAGCTGCTTTAGGCAGCTGAGACTTAATTATTTTTTTTTTAGTTTTTAAGCGTTTTACAGAGGGCAAGATGTGAACTTTCTTTAAAAAAAGACAGAATTACCCTATGCGTGCTCACCACTCCATAATCCACTCCAGCAAATAAAAAGAACCACTCTATTTATTTAATCTCAAATAGACCAGTACAAAATGTACAGAAAAAGCAGTACAAATTTACAAATATACATAATGTGTTTTTTGCATTCTTCAGTCATCAGACTTCATAGTAGTCTAGCTTAAGAAAATTCACATTCCTAATACTGTCTGCTCTCACCATAACACTGCATCTGAATCCCACAGTCCAAACAGGTTACATGATGGTTGGAGCTTTGTCCTTGAGCTCTTCATCAATCACGATTGCCAAACCCTGTGTAAACCCCATGACTCAACTGCTTCTTTAAATCCACTTGGCACCTCAGTACACCTTCTTCCATCGCTCTTCCACGTATCATCGCTCACTTATTTTAATAGTGAAATTTGGCAGAGGCAAAGCAACAATTGCAAGTATTTGCTATTTAGAGCTATCGGAAGGCTTAAGGGAAGTTGCTAGTGTGGTTGGAAATACTGCCATCTAAGACAAAAGGATTTATTGCATTAGGATGTGAAGCTGTATTTTAAAAAGCTACAATATTATTGAGAATTATTAAAAATTACTTTTTAAATAAATAAATAATAAATAGTAATAAATAAAGCTATTTTAGAAACAATGGAATTTTAACACTCAACCTGCCTTTAAAAATAATTTCTTTGCATGTTTGTTTTACAGCTTTCAGTGAAGGTACCTCAAAGAATCCAGTACCATTAATATTTTCAATAAAAATACTATGTTCAGGGTTATTTTCTTCCAGGTTCATATGAAGCGTTTAAAAGCAGCAAAAAAAGAGCAGTCTCGCTTCTCTCTTCAGAGCTTGCCTAGATGGACGCTCTTATAGGAATTGTCTTTCAGGCTGTTGAATATCTCTTTGGTGCCATTCTGCCACTGAAGAACAAGATCCATAGGAGTTTTCCCTTGCTGGTTAAAAAAGAAGAGGAAGCAAGATTTAATTTCAGCCAGTGATTATTGAATCCTTCTTTCCTCCCTAAATATTCGTATAGTGCATCTGCCTGCTTTGAGATGTTTCTGCGTGCAGAAGGTCAGATGAACTCTCGCCTCCCCAAGATCCCAGTCCTTTTGCTCTACAGATCTAGCCCCAGCCCGGCTCACACTCATGATGAAATCTGTGTGTTTCAGTGGGTCTAAGCCACATTAGCAAATACTGTGACTAGCAGAGCATACAGGTGTTTCTTTTGGTCTAGTTTAAACTTATTAGAAATACATTTAAATGAAACCTCAGTAATCTATTCTTCTACTTAACGGAGAGTTCAGGTAAGAGTTGGTACTGGTTTAATTAGGTTACGAACCATGTCTAAATTAAATAGGAGCAACTTTTGTGTGCAGACAAAGCCTGAGAGAGCAAGTCTTTGGCCTTTGGGGCTGCACTTTAGTTTTCATACCATGATGAGGGATAATACCGGGGGTGGCCTCACTTCAGAGAGTGTGGACAGAAAGTAGGCAGTGCAAAGTGCTGCAGGGACTTGTTTCTTCCTTGCCCCCTTAAGTCTTGATTGATTGCCAGTCAAAAACATTGGCATTAGTAACTCACTGTCCATCCCACTACTGTTCCGTTTGGGTTTGGGGAAAGGGGGCTGTGATGTACTGTGTTTTAACAAGTGGTCGCAGAGCTCCAGCAACGCACCTGCTGCTGCTGTGGTGGCTATGAGCAAAGAGTCTGGTGTAGGGCTTCTTAAATTGAAGCTCTGCTGAGCCACAGGTATTTGTTGCCCAGTGGTCAGGTCAACAGCCCATCATCCAGATGTAGTGCTTGGGCTTGCTATCAGCTGTGGGCTTAACAGAAAGGAGAGTTACCTGACAGGCTAAGATTTTTGTTGTCTCGGTGGTGGTTGAAGCCCAGGAGCTGCGCAGATAGCAAGTGTCTGTACGTTTTATCTTTTCAATATATGATATGTGTAATTAAAATAAATCACAAAAAGATGTGATGTTGTTTCAAGTTGCAGCTGATGGGTTCTGGCTTTAGAAGAGGTACTGGTTTTTCCTCTTTTCCCTGACCTCCCCCAAGTTATATGTTCCCTGTGTCAGCTCTGCTTTAATTAACTCTGAAGTGATCTAATTAAATCTGTTCACAATAGTCTCTCCCAGCCTTGAAACCTATGAAGCTGCTCTGAAGGGAAACTTATTCTAGAGCCTTTTGAATTGCTGCATTTTTTTGCCATTACTTACACAGTTCTTTATAGTTAGATCCGCTCCATACAGAATGAGAAGCCTGATCATTTTGTTTTTTTTCAGCCTCACGGCATCGTGCATCGGTGTGTCTCCTTCCTAGAGGCACAAGAGAGATGGATCACAGTGTCAGTGCCACTGGTCCAGTGCCGTGGTCCAGACCCCACTGCGCAGCCAGGGGTTTTCACAGACAAGTGGAACTATCAAGGCAGACAGCGGCTCGATGCTACCTGATAGCTGATGGGTCAGAAGTTGTTGGCACTTACTCTGTCTCTGGCATTGAGATCTGCTTCACAGGCGATGAGGTGCTCCCCGCAGTCGTACTGACCTGTTCTCACAGCCACGTGCAAGGGGGTGCTGAGCAGCTGAGAGGTGGGAGGAGGAAGCAATCAGTGGCGTGGAACAGGTAAAGACCGCTTCAAGAACGGCTGCCAAAAACTATCTACTTGGAGTAAGGGTCAGCTTTTCCTCTCCAATTTAAAAAGCTGCTGCGTCACAGGAGCACATACCTTGTCTCTTGCATTTCTGTTTATCCCTTTGTCCAGTAAGAATTTCAGAACATCCAGGTTCCCCCCTCGGCATGCCCAGTGCAGGGCTGTAGATTCAAGCTGCAGCAGGAAAAACAAATGGAAAGTAATTTAATTCATCATTATATTAAAAAACCCACAAAAACCAAAAAAACCTGTTTTGATCAAATTTCTAAATTAATCCAAAATCATTTTAATGCAATGTAACCTAAAGCACTTTGCTGTGACCACTGAATTGTTTCTAGTAACAGCTTTTCTTGTTTTGCCCTAATTTCTTTAGTACTGTGAGTTTCTCACTCTTCACACCTGCTGCATATTGCCCTGAAAGACTCAGACCTTGGCAACACTGCTATGAGAGAGGATGTGTTTTGTCTGTTCTGTGAACTTATAAGTTCTCTTTAGCCAGGTATAATTTTTTTTCTGGCAGGTACGTACTAGTTAATATTTTTTTATTTGATGCCTATGCATTTTTTTATTTGATGCCTATGCATTCTAAAATGCATAGAAAGTAAAGCTCAAGGGAAAGAATAGTTCTCTTAAAAAACAAAAACAAACAAACAAAAAAACCCCCAAAACCCCAAACCCCAAACCAACAAAAATTCCCCTTAGCAGATTCACAAAGTGAATTAAAACCCTCCTCCCCTACAATATTCAACTTTTTTGCCCTCAGCTCTGCCAGGAAGGGTGGAATGTCCCTTAAAGGTCTCGCTCCGCCTATCGTTTCTCCTGTTCGTTATGCTCTCCACAAGCACTGCTGGGTTAAGCGAGGAGGAGCAAAGCTGGCTGGTTCCAACTCTTCAGCAAGGGGATGAAGAGCTGGGAGTGGAGAAGCAAAAAAACCAGCTGCAGAAGCTGTTGATAACTCAGCTACCCTCATGGCCGGCGTTCTGGGGGAGCAGGGATGTGTCCCAAGAGCAGCCCTGAAATCGGGGCGGACACTGTGCTGAGCCCTGGTGCGTGGGTGGGATGATGGTATCTGCACCACCTGGAGAGCCTGGCTTCAGCTCTCTGACCCTGCCGTGGGCTTTGCTGTTTGTCGCAGTCTGTGGACCAGCCTGTTCCTCCACTTCCTGGGTGTTCCAGCAACTGCTTTGGCAAAGGGAGGCAGACACCCCCTCCTGAAACCTCTTCTCAACAGTGTTATTTTAAGGATAAACTTACAAAATGCTGGAAGGCCTTTTAATGCTTCTCTGCTATAAGAAGTACTTCTGTAAGTGCTTCTATTAGCACTTATAAAACAATGAGCAATTTTTGGAAAGAAGTGTAAGTTGATGTGCATACCATGTCTTTCTGTTCAAGCTGTGCTCCGGCTTCCACCAACTTTTTCACCACCTCTAGATGTCCTTCAGAGCATGCCCTGTGCAGCGCAGTGCGTTTGTACTGGCAATTGAAACAGTGCAACGTCAGATATTAAATATGGCACAAAGAGACATCTTTAAATCTTTTCTACCCTCCTCCCTAGGATGATGTCAAATACATACTTTATGCTGATTAATTTTCAAGACCTAATACTTTTGAGACCTGAAATCTGCTAAATTTTAATAGCATCCTGATAGCTGAGAGCTGCCTACCCAGCTTTTTAAAGGGTGTGAGAAATATATGCAGTATGGTATTCAAATTTAAAATGATGCCTGTTGAGTTCCCCCATCCAGCATGCTACACTGCCTTTTGCAAATGCAGCTTATGCATTATGGAGTAGGAGGGCAGGCAGCATCCCTTTCTTTGTCATTCTGCAGACAAATTTCTTATCTGTTCATCTGTAGCATTGGAAGATCACTTGCTACAGAAAACCAGGGCCTCCTGGTCACCAACTGCTTGCTTTTAAATATAAAGGTGCTTTTGAGGTAAACTTACTTTGAAGGGTCCCAGTGGCCCCATTATCACTAGAAAAAATTATACACAAAAATTCCAGGGTTTACTTACTTCCCGCCAGGTGTGGAAGCTACAAAAGTTAGTGGTAAAAGTTACTTTTGCCCTGTAATAACCTCTCTTCTGTAGCAAGCTTTGCAGTAAGAAGGAAGATTGTACCTCATCACAGACATTTGGATCCCCTTTGTCTGACAGGTATTTTTCAATTACTGGCAACTTATTCTCCAACGCAGCTCTAAAGAATGTAGGTATATCCACTGGTCCTGTCTGATGGAAAGAAATACACAGGGCATAAATGCATGTGGTACAAAACCTCTTCAATGCTTTCCCAGAAGAAGGTGCTTTGAAATAACTTACAATAACTTCTGGTTCAGGTTCCTTTAAAACGGGTGCTTTCACTTTCTTGCATTTTTTCTTCTTCTTCAGCTGAATTATTTTTTCAAGATCTTCCAAGTTTTCAAGTTTTGACCTCTCCTCTAATTTCTTCTTCTTCAGCTGAAATAAATCAGGGAAGCCAGCAAGTTGAGCTGAGTGTGACCACCTCTCCCTTTCAGAGTGGCAGGACAGTATGTGCTACTATTCAACTGAATTCGGTTAAGACTGGATGAACTTTGAAATAAGTTACCTTTTTTTTTTTTTTTTTTTTCCAGCTAGGGCTAATTGACAATTAGAATAAGTTACCAAGTGTGTGAGAAATTCTACATCATCTGTAGTTTTTCATACACCATTGGACTTCTTCCTAGATGCTGCTGCAGCCATATGTCATGGGATACAAAGCATGAATTTTCAGTCTGTGTTAGGCCAGGAGTCAGAGCATCACTGCAGTCACCTCTGGCCCAACAGTTTAAGAAATCTCATGTGCATCTTGTGAGAGCTGGGAAGCCCCTGCAGTTTTAGCTGACTTCCAGCAAGTGTTTTTTCTTCAACTTCTTTTATGATGCAGCCCCTGATTTATTGTAACTTGATCCTCCTTGATCAAAAATATACTCTTAATTGAAAAGCAAGGTTTATACCCATCGTAGCATTTTGGTCAGCAAGCGTTACATTTGGTAAGCTACAAAGAATGTCCCCAGTATCCTTGGAGGAGCAGTTCAATAAATGTTTAAGACTTCTTCAAGCCTGCTTTTAAAAAGCATCTTTGCATGAAGTCAGCATGGGACACTGCTAACATTAAGGGCAAATATGTTGCCTGAACTGAAATCCCAGGCACCATGAGGTGTTCCTAACTTCAGAAGGGGGATTCACAAACAAGGGGTAACTCAGGTGAATACAGATGACAGATTCTGTCCCATGGTATCATTAAGGGTAAATACATCGGCGATACCCTGTCATATAGTTGTGGTTTTTTTCAACTGAATTCTTGTTCAAGTTATTTCCACTTCTTTTTATTGTTCTCTGCATTAGAGTTTGATCTGTAGATCATTGACTTAATGGAAAATAATTATGTTGGCTGAATGGACTGTGGACCAACTGGAAACCCAAAAAGGTCTTAGGGCTCTGTTTTGGAGGAACTCAAAAAACCTGTGTAGCAAGTAATGACCTTTCTGTTCAAGATGAAGGTCAACAGTGTTTATTTTAATATTTCTGAGGCTCACTTTGCCACCCTTCTTTTTTTCAGAACAAAGTATTATGCCCCTGCTAGTTAAAGTTTTTAATTCTCAAATCACTTGAAATTTTTAGGCCAGTTGGTTGCTTAATCACCAAAGAATTTAAAATGTTACAGATACTGTATTTTTGCAGAAAAAAGCATTGGTTCTTAGGGATATAGGGAGAATTGTCATGCTCCAGGAATACAAAATGGTACTTCTCTGTAGACCACTATCGCTTTAATTTGTAATGTTTTTTTTCCCAAATGTGCTAGTAATCATAATGCAGTGTTTTCACAAAAAGAACATTTTCAGAAATGCACTCTTACATCTTTCTTGGGTTAGTTATTTTTGGTGGCAGTAATTAGGTGTGCAAGCCAAAGGTGTCTTAATGGCTATGATTGCTCCTCCTACTGAGAGCTAGCAGCCAGTGACTCTGGGCAGGAGGGAGCCCCCAATGTTTCAGTCAAACATTATGGGGAGAGTTTGGGTTCTGCTCCACAGCATTACTGCCTGCATCCATAGGCTACAGGAGTCAGCAGAGCTCCATGGCTTTCATGGACTTTAGACCAACCCCCTTTGGTGGTGATGCCCCAGGGGTTTATCTAGCTCTCCATGCATGTGTTTCTAACTCAGAAACAGGCAAAGCTTCAAGGGCTGCAGCAGAAAGTGCACACAGGATGATAAAAAGCCAAGCACAAACCCCAAGAGCCTACCTCTGCTTCTAGCTTTTTCTCCTCGTAAGTCAGATCACCTTGGGTCAGTGAGTGTTTAGAGACTGTCTTTAGGTCCTCCTGTTTCTCTAATCTAACAGCAGCTTCATACTCTCCATTTTTGAAGTCCTCAGGGAGGAAGCTTCCCGTCTCTTTATCATCCGCTTTCTTCCCAGTCACCTGTAAAAGCAAACGTGATATAATACCAGGCAAGCAGTTTCATGGCTGCAGTAGCCACCCCCTGGGAACATGGATTACCTAGAGGTAACGCTAACTGCCTGTCATTCCTGTCCTGCTCTGGAGTGTGTGACAGACAGAGTGCAGACCTCATTCAGCCCGTGCCTGGATTATCTGCATACGTGAATGCCTAGAGCAATCTCACTTGCAGGCGGATCTCCTGCATCCTCACAGCAACTCCCTGTTCACATCTTCAGGGCTTGGATCAAGATCCATGAGGCCAACTCACAGTCTAACTCCCTGCTTGGCTGGGGCTGAGATGCTGCTGTACCGACAACAGCCAGAGAGTTGGGAGGGGCATCCTTTTTGTTCAGGGTTTTCTTGTTTGTTCACTCACCAGCATGTGTCAGACTCCTCAGAAGGCTGTAAGACAAGGTGGAAAGAGCCACCCCGATCAGCCACCAGCACCCTGTGAGCCTTCAGCAGGGGAACGGAGCAGGTAAGAGTGAGGCTTTCTCCCCTGGGACCTTACACTTTCATCAAAACACATCCAGTGCAGTTAACTCGGGTTACTGAGTAATTTGAAGGCTGGTTTTGCCCACTGCTGTCAGTACCAAAAATCCCCATTTATAGCACTCAGCAAAATAGTGTAAGGTAGTTCCTGTGCAGAAGCTGTGTGATGCTACGCAGCAGGTCAGCTTTCAATAACTTTGGAAATATTTCTGATGCTTGATTAAGTATGTACAAAGAGATAACTTGTTGAACTCAGTAGAGGCTGTTGTGTGTTTTGAGAGTGGTTCAGTAAATTTGTGTGTTCTGGACCCTGCAGTGGAATGTCCCATTATTTGTGGTCTGGTTTAGACATTATTTTTCAAAGGCTTGTTACACTGTGAACAGCAGTGGGTGTAGGAACTGATAGTTTATTAATAGAAAATAATATTATTACTAAACTGTTCATTGAGTATTAGAAAATACTTTGGTTTTCCTTCATTGATACCTCCTCCTAGTCCCTTACTGGATTGGAATTAGTCAGTGTGATCATAAACTTAATAGCTTCTTAAAAACAAAACAAAACAAAGAAAATTTAAAATCAAGGTCAAAGGAACATACATAGCTAAATTCTGGTCAGCCTCTTCTTCCTGGTGAACTATGTTCTGATGCAAAATACAAACAGCTATGTTATTGTACCTCAATGATCCACGATGGTTGTCTCTCTCTGCCTGGTATACTGACACTCGAGAAAGAAAAGTAATTATGAATAAATGAAAGAAGGTTGTACCTACCAGCTCTTCTACTTTCATCATCATCATATTTGCCAGCGTTTGAAGGTTGTACTCCTGTACGGCTGAAACTCCCAAGTGCTCAGGCCAGCTCTGCTGGGACCACCACACCAGCTTTGCTTTTATATCTTTGGGAGAACTGTGTTTGAATGAGATAATCTTCCAACCTGGGAATCCAAGTATGCCTCTTGGGCTTGCCAGCTGAGAGGTAGGCTTGTGCTCATTCCAGACATGTTAACGAGCCAGATCTGGTGTCGAGGCAGGGAGGGGGGCGTCAGTTGGGCGAGGGAGGGTGAGCCTCACAGTCTGACCACACCAGCTATGTGAATCGGAATGAAATGTGAGCTCATCGTTCCTTTGGCAATGACTGCACGGCTCAGCAATGCGAGTCATTCTGCATGCCCAGTGCCCACTAGGACAGCTGTCTGTTGATACAGCGTTATAACTTCATCTTTTTTATTTTATTTTTTTTTAACTAACATTCAATTGAGTCTAAGACACTGGAAAGGGTAAGTGGCTTATGTACAATACTTGCAGTAATATCTTCCTGATAAATGGATTATGACTCCTTAAGTCTCAGAAAGCCATTATTTTCACTGCTATTTATTCTTTGATGATAAACAGTTTTAGGGGAAAGGATTTTTCTCATCATGATGGCAGTCTTCTATATTTGTTGGAAGGAATTATCTGAAGGGATTACTTAGCCAGAATGATGTCTCTGGTGCTAAAAGGGCCCATGACATGATAAGTTACAATCAGTGTAAGATCTCAAAACAACAAGCTTTGCATTTTTCGGGGACTTTGTCAGTGATCATAAGCAGAATAATTAATTGTGTCCTATTATGCAAAAAAAAAAAAAAAAAGAAAGAAAGAAAAAGAAAACTAATACTGTTTTCTCAGGCCATATTTTCCTTTTGGAGATGAGAGAATAGGGGCACAGAAGTGATTTGTTCATTTTTGGAGACGGGGTACAGACAAATATATGCAGATGATGTGTGTGTTTTGGGGAAAAGGAGTTATTGAGTCCTTTAGAAAAGCTTTTCTTGTGTTGTGAATCAGAGTAGCCCGGAAGCAGGAGAATGAACACCAGCAGAAGGCAATTTTATAAAAGGAAGATGCACTAATCTTTGCATTTGGATAAATGCCAAGAAAAATCAGTTCTGTCATTGTGATGCTTGGAGTTCCTTTCTGGTGAGGTACAAGCCTGGCCATAGGCATCCAGATCACCTGGCTGAAATGAAAGCAACTGCTCAGGTGCTTCAAGTACATGTACATAAGTGCTTCACCAAATCAAGACCTAACTATCTTGGGTGTTGTTTATATCATTAGCATCATTAGCATGCTGCATTCCTGACACTGACCTTTCAAGGTGTCCCTCCTCTGAACTATCTCCCAGTAATCTGAGTACATCCAAACTTGTCTTCTAGTGCCCATCATACCTATGCCCTCCCTTTCCCTGAAATGAAGCTGGACATCAGGTGGTTCCTTTACTACTCAGAATATATATGACATTAGAGGATGAGCCCCAGAACTAAAATAGAGTATGTGGCAGCAAGAGAACCTTTCAGAACATTTTTTTCCAAACCTAAGTACAGCCAGGATATCATTCCCCCAGAGTGGTATGTCCTGAATCACGCTGCTGGGCTTTTTTTCACAGCAGTTTTGTACTCCTCCTATATGTCTCTATGGTTGGAAGCAACTCAGTTTGTCTTTTTCTTGTTTACAGTCTTGGTCTGTGTTGTACTGTGACGCTTATTTGGGAGATTGTCTTGAAATCCACAGCCCTAACAGCATGGTTACAAAAACCACTTCTGGTTTAGTGGAAACAGATCACAGCAGAGAGAAATGCAGGGGTTTGCTTTAAGAACAAAAATGGTTTAAGAAGCTGTGAACTACCTCTGGCCTCATTGTATTTGAAACCTACTTTTCCTTTTCTTTTTGCTTTCCTTTTTTTAAACATCCTGATATGTAAAACTGATTCAGCAAAACCTAAATTGGAAGTTTTAATTGGATAGATCTTCCTTTGCAAATGGTACATAAATCCAAAGCTAGAGTACCTTTACAGTAAACCTCAGTGCTCTGAGGGGAAACACAAACCCACTTCTCACATCATGAGTGCTACCAAAAAAGCCCAGATTGTTTAGAGATAATTCAGTAATTGCCTTTAAAACATCCCATCCCTGATGACAAAAATAATAAAGAGAAAAAAGTCTTCCTTGATTATCCTGAGTTTCTGTGTGAAAGGGGTGGCACGCAGAAACCCATGTTAACCAAAGGGTGGAATCTCAATTAACCTCATGGTAACTGCTTTTAAGCTAAAGGTCATGTAAACCAAGGTAACCCTATGGAAATAGTAGAAATGCATTGATTCATATCAGCTAAGACTCTCCTTCAGATGCTTATCACTATTGCTCAATATTGGAGAGGGAAATAGCATAATGAGCTTGCAACTTTGTGCTGGACTGTAACTGCTTCATCACCTTTCAACAAGTGATTTCTCGTCAAGGTGGTAATAGCAGATGGTCAGTGGGAGATGTGTAACAGGAGTCTGAAAAACTCTTGCCACTCTGCTAAAGGATAAGGGCAGAGCAATGACCTGCAAGGTGTAAGGCAATTGGATATTGACACAAAAAAACTTCACAGAGAAAAACACAAAACAGTAGTAGGCTCAGCATGACAGAGAGAAAACTATATGGCACACCCTGTTCCCTGCTATCAAAAGAGAAGTTGTCCGAGAAGCGTAAAGAATTTTTTAAAGAGGTTAAAGGTAGTGTGAAAGCATTATGTGTGATACAGATGATATTGCCACCTCCTGTCAAGTGTTTTACCATCATGTTTTCAATGCCGTCACTGCTGTGCTTGGCTGTCTTACATTTTCCAGCACTCTGCCCTTGGCTCTGTCCTTGCACCTGAAGATGTTGCCCTTTGGAATGCCATTGTACCTGCCTGTCTCTGTCTGTCTCCTGCTGCTAAATAAGTAAAGGTATGAAAAAATCAGTTGCTGGGGAGTGGTTATGCACCTAAGAGGGTATTAATCCAGCAAACTATGTTCCACATGTATGCCGTCAAGGATAAATTCATACCCAAGGTAGACATAAGAAGCAGTAACCCATAACTTACTCCTCTTGGATTAGTGATCTGTTGGTATGTAATGACTTGTTTATTTCGTAGTATGTGTGAGTACCCAGCATGCCTTACATATATCCACATACAACAGAGCAGTAAATAATAGTATATTGCAAGAGATGTATTTGTTTCCTCCTCTATTTTAGCTGTTTTTTTTCCATAAAAGGCAGGAAACATTTTTATTTGTCTAACATATACTCTGATATTTATTGTCAAAAAGCAGTTTGGGTATGAGATAACTAGAATAAGCAAATTATACCACTCATGCTCTAACTTTTTCAACCTGGTGATATGTATATCTGTATGCTTTTTCTAAAGTGATCAAGGAATTGCTACATCATCTGTTTAAAACAACTTGAAGACTTCTTATCAATGTAAATTCTTGTGTATAAAACTACTAAAGAGAAATACATTACCTCCTTAGGGGGAAAAAAGAAGTCATAGTCTGGCAGGTTGCTGGTCTGGCCAGCACAGCCCTCTGGTGTCAAAACCCAAACCAGCAATGAGTCAATAGTTGCGTCACTTACTGTAGGGCTTAAAAAAACCCCCACCTTCTTCAAATGATGTCAGGGTTGGGGATTTCACATAATAGAAAAAAAAGAAAGAAAGAAACAAACAAAAAAACCCCACCACACCAAAACTGTGATTTCTATTTAAAAACAAAGGATTTCAATTTATCTGAGGCCTTGAGCTTTATCATGATGGTATTTGTGCAACTCCTGAATCTGGCTAATTCACCTTAATGGATCTCAGTTAACAAGCAAGTGCAGCAAAACACAGCAGAAGGGTTGTTATCTGTGGTCAAATGGGTTTATCTACTGCCTACTTGGCCTTCCTAGTCAGCAATATAGGTCAAGGTCCTGCTGCTCCAGCACACCTGTGCCAATGCTCTGTTCATGTAACCTCTGACTACATTTTTCCATGGTCAAGGAAGTACAATAATCCCTCAGCTGCTGCAAGAAGGCTTTTCTGTATCAATGTCAAGTTACCTAAAAGGTTTCTGCCATTCATAAATACTTGAGAACAACTCCAAGTCGGTCAGGAAAGGAAAAGTGCTTAAAGTAGAGAACTGCAGAAGTAGTTGTTACCCTTACAGTGAGAGTATGCCTGCAAATCCGGTCACTTGAGTCATCATCCAACAGGTACCTGTGCTGGCCGACTGCTCTGCAGTAAAGTAGAGCCAGTGCTTTTGACTGGCAGCAGGGGAGAGTTCAGCTTCACTCCAGAGAAGCTGTGACATTTTTTAACTTTATTTTTACTCTGAATTTCACGTTGTCTGATTTGAAGCCTCTAGTTATTGGAACTTGCTATACTTGTACCTGAAATCTCCTAAGTGCTCCCTCTCATCCCAAAAGTGCAATGCCCTTTTGCTGTGTAAATGTAAGGGGCTACTATAGTTTTGGGTGACACAAACATCCCTCTGAAGTGCTGTAGAGCTTGTGCAGGACTGTTCCTTGTTCATGCAGAAAAAATCCAGGTCCTAGCTGTCCTCTCTGCTTACACAGCAAAAGTAGCAGCTCCGGAGACACAGAAGGGCTCCATCCAACAGCAGCGCCAGACTTCATGGGCTGTTCGGGAGGGAGGGAGCAATGGTCATTCCAAGTGCCTGCTTCACCTTTGGGAATTCCACTCTGCCAAGATGGCAGGTTTTGTGCAGGGTTGCTTACCAGCAGTGGCCAAATAACATCCGACTGTTGCTTTTCCCTGCAGTGTTATACACTTACATTACATTATAGCAGTACATTACATTACAGTACATTATAGCACATGCTGAAGTAGTTATCTAACAGGATTCCCAAATCACTCTCCAGACAGAATTAGCCAAATTACAGTCATAACATGTGATAACAGATCTTGGGAGGTCATCTAGTCCAAGTTTCTGCTCAAAACAAGGTCAAAACTCAATT